TTGCTTTTAAATTGTGATATTTTTTTTTGTCGAATTTTATTTACTACAGTCGTGATTTCTTTTGTTGTTTTGAAATATACTAAATGTACACTGAACTCTCTCAAATATTTAAAATACGCAATTTTTATTTTAATAAAGTGTTGAAGCAAAAAATTGAGAATAAATTAATATAAAAAAAAATTAATTGAAAATAATAATTAAAAAAATATAAACAATGGGGTTAATGGAGCGCAAAAAACATGCGCCATAATTTTGTCAAAAAAAAAAACTTTTATTTCTGTTGTTACACACCCGTACATACATATGTATTTATGTATGTATAAAAGAAAGTACGCCTTTTTTATACAAATAATATTATTATTTTAATGTAAATAATAACGCGCATTAGTAAAGTGTGGAAAACATTTATGATCATTTGTTTTTTTTTTTTTTTGAATTTTTTTTAATAAATTTTACTCAAGCTCGTATTTTATGTTACTAGCTCTGTATATTTATTATCATATGTACATTGTAGTGCCATTAACTAAAAATTATCTTTGACCCACTTGCTGCCATTATCACTATAAAATGACATCTAATACCTATCTATATACCGTATATGTGTACTTGTATGTGAATTTTTTGTTTTATATTTTTTAAACTTGAATTAAATTCTAGATTCAGTCACAGTCAGTCAGTCACAAGAACTGGTTGTTTCACATTTTCGTTGTCAAGTTTTATTTTGGCTCAATTTTCATACAACCGGCTTTCTATTTCGCATTGGTTTTAATGACACAATTATTAATGCATATATACGCGTACTCGCACATACAAATTACTTTAATACATATATTTTTAAATTTTTTTTTCAAAAGCAAGCTATTGTTGGAGAGATAATCAATGTTCTCCAGTGAGTTTGAATGACTACCTCTCATCTGCTTTTCGGTAGAAAATCCCTACAATAAAGGGTGTTTTTTTAGAGGAGGGGACTTCAATGAAACAATTGTTTTTAGGTTACTGGATTTATGCTTAGTTTGGTTTGAAAATTTATTACCAATATAATGGTTCACTTCAGGCGAAGTATCGAGCGGTGCCTTCAATATTCGGTCAAAATTTTCGCCCATTACCGACTATGATAATTCAAGTAACCATGATTGGTTTTGCACTTGGTTCACTCTAGCGGTTATTGCCCATCCTCAGAGTGCAACGTATTGAAGAAAACCCAAATGAGTGCTGTACCCATCAACGTATGGTGGATTTTGCGCAAGGATCTTGTTTTAATAATTGAAGTCAAACAACCATCAAGCGCGTCACACGTTTGGTGAAAGAGTCCAAAACGAGATGGCCAACGATCCTGATTTTCGCAACAAAAGTTTATTCAGCGTCAGTTTCGGTTGAATGGGTACATTTATAAACAAAATTTTCGCATTTGGAGTGATGATAATCCATAAACCGTTATTGAGACGGCATTAATATCCATAAAACTTACTTTCTTGAGATCAACCCGAGTGGTTTGATGCCTTAGAAAAGAAAATAATGTGGCGCGTTTTGCTAATATACGACCCCTATTGCGGCAAAAAGTGGCTAAGGATTGAGCATGTCGGTCAAGCCGCGACTGCAGTTTGTTTTATAAAGTCTTCTAAAAATTTTTTTTACAATCCTTCAATGATTTTATGCACATTTTTAGTGATCTTTCACAAGAATTAATAATCCTCACACCACTTACGATTAAACAATAGATTCTTCATTTCCGTCTACTCATGAATTATGTCCGTCGAAATCGCCGTACATCTTGTTCAGCTCATTGTTTCCTGGTCTGCTACCAGCGCCGTAGTTCAAACTCCTATCAGTCTAACCCAAAACCTTTTGCTCGTAAACTGGTTACTGATGGGATGTTGTAATCGTCTAATATTCGGTACTTAAGGACGAGACTCTTGTTCGTCGGGAAAGTACTTTAGTTTTCTTATTCTAAAGTGGCACTTGTTGACAAAAGGCCGAGTCTGAGTTAGTAGTCATTCCGGCCCCATGGCCATTGGCGATTGTAGCCTGTAGCCTCCCCGCATAGCCTTTGTCTTCCGAAAGCCGGAATTTCATAGATTACATGCTCCATTGTCTCCACACCTTCCTTGCATTTCCTACATTTGTTATCCCCAGGTCAGTCCTATATCAAACGCTGAGACGCCAGAAGTAATCGGCCTGTTAATAAATAGTCCTTTCAGTAGCCTGGCGTCTGATTGCGATTCCGCAGCCCTTAGCTCGTTCCCAGATGCTATTCGCCAGTTGAAATAGTATTACTTTTTGTTTTTGCTTCATTTCCTTGAATGTTCGAAGCTGCGACCTGTTCTAAGCCACCTAAACACCTTCCTTCTTCTTTTTCTTCTTCTTCTTTATTGACATTTTCAACGCTTATCTTTTATCCATTTGGACAACATGACCTATCCAGCGTAGCCGTTGTCTCTTCATTCGCTGGACTATTTCAATATCATCATATGGCTCATACAGCGGTATTCGCCGTGGCCAATGTGCAAAGAATCATAAAACGGTCGCTAAACAATTCTTTCGAAGACTCCTATAGGCGACTCATCAGTTATTGACGCGCCATATAGTAGGACGGTTATGATGAGCGACTTGTAGAGTTTGGTTTTCGCTTGTCGAGTGAGGATTCAACTTTTCAATTGCCTGCTCAGTCCAAAGTAGCACCTGTTGGCAGGCGTGATTCTGCGCTGGATTTCCATTCTGACATTGTTGTTGGTGTTAATACTGTTTCTAAGAGGGGGCGAAGTTATTTACGAATTCAAAGTTATGGCTGTCACCAGTGACGGCACTTGCAAAGATCGTTTGTTTGATGGCAGGAGTTATTGCGTCTTGTTCACGTTCACCACAAGACCCATTATTCAGTCTGGAGACAGCAGAACTCATGGCGCGGCACATTGTCCAATTTTCGTCGAAACATCATCCTATCGCCAGCGATTATGGAATCGGGATCGCCACTTTCTGATTTTAAATTTTCATTGCCATTCGGCAGGCTGGAGAAATGTTCTCTCCAAAAATTCAGTATTCTCTTAGCACCGGTCGCTAGATCAACTCTCTGGATTCTACAATAAGGCATTGTAAATTGGTGGTGCAAAGTTTCGTAATCGGAAGACTTGAGCTGGTGGGTAGTAGCAATTGAGACAAAAAACCAGCAAGATTTCCACCGAGCGTGGTCAATTTTTCATCTCACCATCATCTCCGACCAGGGGTATTACTTGCACATTCACATACATATAGATATATGTATCAGGAACTCATGGGATGCACTGCTTTTGAAGACTTGATACTTTATGTTTTCTAATGCCCAATGATGAATATGTGAGAAAGCTGGGCATTCATACTTAAATTGGTCAACTGTGTCTTTATGCACTTAATGGCTTACAGCTGCGATAACGGTATTATAGGGCATACTCATTGTGATTGTAATTGAATCTACTTTTACATTTCTAACTTGTTATATTCAACTTGTTCGAAATTGTTTTTATTCATTAATATATATGTATAATATAATATATATGTATATATGTATGTACTCGACTTGAGCAACTCGTCCGCTTCTTTATTATCGAATATAGATTGACTGGGAGCTCAAGTAGTTGAGTTCAGTAACTCAGCTTACTATCTACCTACAAATTTTGACCCACTGGAATTTATCGTTAGTGATGATAAGGCCAGCAATGCTGTCTGCTTATTCGAGTATCTGATACTTGAAAACAAATAACTTTAGGCAAGGATATAAATAAAATAAAAATATATTCAAGTTATTGGTTTGGCGGTAAAAATCGGGTTGATTCTTTACTTAGATTCGGCTATTTGAGAGAATTTGAACATCTGTAGCCTCATTGGTGTTTTTACAATGTAAACCCATTTAAGAGAAACATTAATTTTTTTTTATATATATATAAAGTTTAGCTACTTGGACCATATATATATATACGAAAGACATTAAATCTCAACAATATTATGCCATTAAATTTTGCATTAAATTACTAAAAAAAAAGAAAAGTGCTATCGCCTATCAAAAGGATATAATATATATAATAATACCATGTACCCGCAATCAAAAGTACCACCGGTTCGGCCGCGTTCCAGTTTATCCACAGACGACCATCATTATCGCATACGAGACTGTGATTCACGGCATGTACGCAAAAAACCGAATAACGCTTTCCTAACATTAGTCGGTTTCTGCTTGGTACTCTTCGTGCTGTGCGCATTCCTATTGGGCGCGCTCATCTACGTCGGCAGAAATATTGTGAATGCGCCCGCTTTTACGACAGCAGCTGTCACAACGGGAAATCATAGCGAATATTTTACTAACGAACAGCTGTTTTCACCAGCAAATTTGTCAATTTTACGAATTAGAACAACAACAGATTATTCCACTTCATTGGCGACACATTCCAGCGCAAATATTAAAATGAAATCAGCAACATTAGCCATTGAACCAGCCATAGCCGCCGCTTCCAAAGTACTGCAAAAATTGAGTTACCGCTTGCCAAAAGAAATACGGCCGCATCAATATAATTTACTTTTACAACCGGATTTGGTGAATAAGACCTATCAAGGCAGTATTACAATTAAATTGGAAGTATTGAAGCCCATTTCTTATATACCAGTGCATGCGAAAACATTAAATGTTACCACGGAAGAAGTGTTGCAACTGAGTGAGGCTGGTGCGCCGTTAAACAAATTGACACCTTTATTGACCTTTGCTCATCCCTCATTGGAGTATTGGGTAACGGAATTTAGTGATGAGTTGAAAATTGGTAACTACTCACTGCGTTTGGCCTTCAATGGTTCACTGACGGATCGTATTGTGGGTTTTTATGCATCATCATATTTGGATACGAAAAGCAATCAGCGCAGGTGTGGAAAAATGAAGATATGTAGAAGACGTTTATTGACACACGCACGATTATTAGCACCCTAAAGCTTACATATTTAAACACGGTGGCATTTGATTTATGTGATTTCTTTTCTTTCAGATGGATTGCTACAACGAAATTCGAGCCTACTTATGCACGTACTGCCTTCCCCTGCTTCGACGAACCGGCTTTGAAAGCCTCTTTTATCATTACAGTAGTACGTCCAACCAACGGTGGTTATCATGCGCTATCAAATATGCCAGTTGCGGTGAGATTCCTCTAACAGATTATTTTAAATATGTATTCATAATATTTTTTATCGTTTAACAGAGCGAAGTGGTAAATGGCAATGTAACGGAAGTGACGTTTGAGCAAAGTGTACCGATGAGCACATATCTCGCTTGCATTATTGTTTCCGACTTTGCTTCTCAATCCAAAACTGTAAATGGTACACTAGAAGGTGCTGACGATTTTGAAATGCGTGTTTTTGCTACTTCCAATCAAATTGAAAAAGTCACTTATGCCTTGGAAACTGGTGTCGGCATCACTGAATACTATATCGATTTCTTCAATGTCTCTTACCCATTGCCCAAATTGGATATGGCTGCTATACCAGACTTTGTCTCAGGTGCCATGGAGCATTGGGGCTTAGTTACATACCGCGAAACTGCCCTACTTTATGATCCCACAATCAGCTCCAGTGCGAATAAACAGCGCGTAGCTACAGTGGTGGCGCATGAATTGGCACATATGTGGTTCGGTAATTTAGGTAAGAATTTTTCCTTTCACAAACACAATCGGACAAAATGGTCTAGTATAATTATTTGTATAAATATTCAAGTCATTAATCTTTACATACCAAATATTATTATATTTTTTTCTAGCGAAATATTTAATATATTCATAATTATTGTAGCTCTAATCGCAACTGCATAGTACACACACACTTCTGCACATTTATTATTTCCCTACACTGAAAAAAAATAAACCGGCTTGCAATGAGTGCAATTAGAAACGTGTACGGAATTTTAATTGCACTAACCTTGTCTTCAGCAGCACGTTTGTGCTATGCACTTATTTACCTTTACGGTTATTTAATAATTATTTATTACAATTCTTTTTTTTTGTAGTAACTATGAAATGGTGGAATGATTTGTGGCTAAATGAAGGCTTCGCCAGCTATATTGAGTACAAAGGTGTTAATAAAGTGCATCCTGAGTGGGATATGGTAAATTAAAAAAAGAGTTATTTGTTTTTATAGAAATTAAAATAATATATTTTTGCTACGCCGTCAGCTCGATCAATTCATCGTTTCTGATTTGCATAACGTACTCGAACTTGATGCCACTTTGGCTTCACATCCTATTGTTCAGACTGTAGAGAGTCCCGCACAAATTACAGAGCTTTTCGATAGCATAACATATTCAAAAGGTGCTTCTGTTATACGTATGTTGGAGGATTTGGTGGGGGAGGACAAATTCCGTACTGCCACAAACAACTATCTGTATAAATTCTACTATAGCAACGCAGAGACTGAAGATTTCTTGTCAGAAATCGAAGCCCTTGAATCTGATTTCGACGTGAAGTATGTAAAAGTGTTTTAAAATTAATTTTATTCAGTCAAACAATTCATTATTTCACCATTAAAACAGATTAATTATGCAAACATGGACTGAACAAATGGGCTTACCCGTGGTAGAAGTGCAGAAAGATGGAAATACATATACACTTACACAAAAGAGATTCCTATCAAATCCAGAAGATTACAGTGCTGAATTTGAAGAATCCAAATTCAAGTGAGTTGCTCTGCTAATAAAAGAAAATTTAGGTTTAAGTTATACATGGTTTTCTAATTACTTGCAGCTATCACTGGTCCATACCAATAACATATTTCACAAGCGAAAACGCAGAAGTTGCTCGCACTATTTTTAATTACAATGATAATGAGGGTAGGCCTAGCTAATATAAATATTTTCACTTACTAATAAAACAAATTTTATTCGATACAGTAAAAATAACACTCAACAGTTCTGCCGATTGGATTAAAATCAATAAGAACCAAGTCGGTTATTATCGTGTAAATTACGCAGCCGAACAATGGGGGGAGCTGACGAATGCACTTATTGCCTCTCGCGGCAAATTCAGTAATGCCGATCGCGCACATCTCCTCAATGATGCCTTCTCTTTAGCTGATGCCTCACAGCTGGATTACAGTATTGCACTGAACTTGGCTTTGTACCTGGAAAAGGAGTTGGATTATGTGCCATGGCGTGTGGCCAGCGGGTGCCTTTCAGATATTAGAAATCTGCTTTACTACACAGATTCATATCGTGACTTTGTGGTATTTGTACGTAAATTAATTGTCAATGCTTATCAAAATGTGACATGGGAAGTGAGTGGAGATCACTTGGATAAGTAATTAATTTTCCTCTTTATTAAAGTAAAGAAATATACAAGTAAATTCATTTACAGCTTGCTGCGCGTCAATATATTGAGTTTAGCCGGTAATTTCGAGTATCAGCCAATGTTGAATGAAGCCGCTACGCGTTTTACCGCTTGGTTGAGCAATCCTAGCGAAAGACCCGATCCGGATATACGTGTGGCTGTGTATAACTTTGGTATGAAGAGTGTAGGTGATGAAAAGACATGGGATCAAGTGTGGGAATTGTTTATAAACGAGCAGGATGCGCAAGAAAAAGCCAAACTGATGGAAGCCTTAGCGGCAATAAACTCGCCTTGGATTTTGCAACGGTTAGTATAACAAATTTATTTCGTTAAACAAGTTATATTTCTTCATTCCTTAATTCATACAGTTACATCAATTTGGCCTGGAACGAGAGCTATGTACGCGGACAAGATTATTTCACTTGCCTTACATACATATCACGTAATCGCATCGGTCAAAGCTTAGTATGGGATTATGTGCGCGAGAACTGGCAACGTTTAGTAGATCGCTTCGGCATTAACGAACGTTATTTGGGTCGCTTAATACCATCCATAACTTCGCGTTTTGTTACACAAACGAAATTAGAAGAAATGGAAGCATTCTTCGCCAAATATCCAGAAGCAGGTGCTGGCACGGCAGCACGAAAACAAGCATTGGAGACAGTTAAATTCAATATTAAATGGCTAGAACAGAATAAGGAGAAAATAGCAAAATGGTTGGCGGAGCAGAATACGGGAAGCGTGACTACTCCAGCTACAATAACTGAAGATGCGAGCTCTTAAAATCAGACCGCATTTTATTAATATTCCACCCAAAGTCATGTTATGTGAATTTATGAAAGCTTTTTCTTTATTTTTATATACATTAATATAAATAGTATTTTAACATATGAATTTATGTAAGTACTTTAATGAGAGTGTAAAATTTGTTGACTTTTATTAAAGTTTGAATATTGAAAACTGAAGACAATAAATGTAAATTGTTTAAAATATAAAGTGAAACTAAACTAGGTCATTTGATTGAATCGATTCTGGTAACTGGGTTTTGTATAATATTTTCCATGCAACATTTTGAAACTGATGTTTCTTCGAAATTCTATACAAAATTTATTCTTTTGAATACACACACATTAAAAGAAATATGATCTTATTTGAAAAGATTCATTTCTCATGAATATTACACTTACACTAACTTTTTCATTAATCACAGAAAGTCACTGAAACACAATTGCAGCATCCGCGCATGAGCGCTCGGAACCATACATAGCTTCACTATAAATACTTATAATAATATAAAAACAACTAATTTATATAAATTATTGATACAATAGATATCATAAAAGTTTTAAAGGACGAAAAACGCTTTAGAATATTTATACTTTCATAACAATTAAGTGACGCGCGCGGAAGCGAACTAAAACTATTCGGTAACGGATACAGGGTTGCACTATTACTAAACAAGGAAATACTTAAAGGCAGTGAGGAGTTTAAAATGTATTCAAATAAAGTAACGATGGTTTCCGGTATTTTATTTAAAAAATCCAAATATAAAGAAAATATTGTAATCGGTATATACACACATATGTACAAACATGAATACATATGTTTGTATGAGGAATTTTTATATATTACTCCTACGATAACACAAGAAAATTTCAAGTGCAATCTTAGTACAATTCATCCACATCAAATTTTCATAGCAATGGAAAACGTAAGTCACCCTAATAATAAAAATAATATTCTGAAATTTTTAATTTATTTTTCAGATAATAAAATATACAAAATCATAAAAATTAATTTACGCAGCCATTGCAACCTTGTATCCGCCTTTCCGTTGTTTAGTCAGTTTCCGTGTTTACAAACGAGTGTGCGATCGGGGTAAAGTTTTCTTCAACTTATTCGATTTAAAATAAAAAATTGGCTTTAAATGCAATGAGTGAATTTGAATGTACATAAGTAAATATAATAATTCCCCAGCGATATGAATATGACCGGTAATAATGAAAAAATAGAGTGATTGCATTTGAGAATGAATTCGAGGGTTTTCAATAAGTAGCGAGTAGAATGACAGTTGCGCCACCATCTTAATGATCCCGCGAGTACTGCCATCTTGTGTATAATGAAATTTTCAACGAAAATAAAATACTCTTCTCGTTCAAATTTTAAATTGTATGTATGATCAGCTTTTAAATTTTCTGTAAAAATATGAATGGAGTGAATTATTAAAATTAAACTATACAATACAAAACCAAAAAATTATAAATATACTTCAACGCATCCTAGATATATATATATGCAGATTGTTATTAAAAATATGCATAATACAAAAGATTTAAAACACCCATTTTTAATAAATATGTTCGTATGCTCCCACGCACATTCAAACATATTTACTAACATATATATATGTACATATATGTATATATGCACATGTGTTCTACCACTCTGAAAAAGTTGTATAAAAGTCATCAGCAATTGAATCATAATTTATGCAAATAAAACAAAGAGTATTCTGACTCTTTTCTGTGTGGAAAAATGAAGTTGTGTCACAAAGTTCAAAATATTGGCATAATATGGCCATTGAAATGTTGTTTACGCCGCAAAAGTGATAAACTTTATATATTTTGTATAAACATTCATAAGTATGTACATATGTAAGTTTGTTTGTATATGTGTAAAAAATATTTTGTAAATGTATCTTTAGTGTGTTATCACAAAATACACACACGCAATGTAGCGATATATTCACTCATAGTCATTGTGGGCACAATGAAAGTTTCAACAAATTGCTGGAAAATAATACGTATTTGTATCTTCTCAAACATTTTCAAGGACAGCCATTAATTTTTTTTAAATCTCTTTCTGTTTACAATAAAATTATGTTTATGTTTATGCTGTAAAGAACTTTGTTTAATAATAATGCGTGTAATTCAGAAATAAAGTTTTGTCTCTTCCGGTCATAAGGCGTTATTACAATACACATGTGCTATATATTGTCAATATTCTCAATATTAGTAAATATTGCGTAGTTCATATGGAATATCGTGGAAAAATTTCTTGTTGACATTGTATAATTGACAAAATAATAAACACAAAAAGAATCACATACATACATATATGACGTATGGAAAGTGGCCTACATTTAGGCACATTGTTAAATGAGGAATTACTGATTCAAAATTTTCCACATCTTATAAAGAAATATTGTTATGGTAAAAAAATCCATTATTTTTTGCATAAAAAATAAAAATTAATAGTTTAATTTTTTCTTTTCGTCTCCAGCCTTATTCCAATGGTTCCGAACGGCTTTTTATGCAATCTTTAGCTCTTGGGCAATCGAAACAGTATGTTGGTTGGATTCGAAAAGGTCCATGATTTTATGAACATTTTTGACCAATGGCCTTCCACTTCTTGAAGCGTCTTTCATATAAAAAAACAGTAATTAAACCGAAATTGTACATGATTGACTGTAACAGTAGCAGGGCCATAAACGTTATTCACCAATTGGCCTGCGTTTCGTTTTTATTGAAGATTAACTGTAAAATACAGCATATTTTCTCTTTGATAGTGTTCATTTTTGACATACGCTCAAACAAAACTGAATCAACTAATCACAAAACTGTCAGTTACTATTAGTTTTAGTACGAAATATCGACTTTCTAACGCCTTTTTTTAGAACCCGATCGGACTTATTCAACGCGAGATAGATATATATAGATAGATACATAAATAATGCTAAATAATTTCTTACTTTTTACTACACCAATATACACTGCGCGACAACCGATTAGCACACTCTCTAACCTATCAGTTTAAAGGAAAATAACTCCCTACTCTGAATATGTTTCATGCGCATTTTATTTTTCCTTTTATTCTGTATCATTTTCGCTCATTCTAATTATAACTGTGAGCTCTGGAAGTGTACCGTTATTTTGCTTTGCTTTTTTCTTTGAAGTGCGACATAAATGCATGCTTGTTTTTTGCGACTTTCATGTCACTTTTCGCGTGTAAGCTGCCTTGATTGGGCGTTTAAGTTTATTATTCATTTATTGGGACTAATTATCAATAAAATAAAGTAATAATAGGCAAAGGAAAACCGTTGGATGAGTCTGAAAAAGGCAAAATAAAGGCTTACAGGGAGTGCGGGCACTCTATTCTTCAAATACAATATCAAAAAATATTAAGCACAGCCGTAAAGTTATTACCGCATATTTAAGCAATGAGGATACATATGGGAAAAACATGAAAGGTCGGCCATCATCAGTAATAACAGCAGCTGACAAGCGAATCATACTACGTCACGCATTCCCACGACTTAGCAGCCAAAATAAAGGAAAAAACTGTGGTTAAAGCGTGCGTTCGGACTGTGCAAAAAGTTATTTCGAATTCTGAACATATGAAGCATCTGAAATTAAAAAAAAACCACCTCTAAACCAACATAGAAAGATGCAACGACTCAATTTCTGTCGATCAAATATGACCTGGACTAAGGAGTGGGAGCATGTAGTCTTATCAGATGAAAAAAGTTCAATTTGGAGGGTCCTGACGGTTATACCTTCTTCTTTCATGATCTCAGAAAGGAAAAGTAGACTTTAGATCGATTGTACAGCCGTGCGGGTGGTGTCATGGTGTGGGGAGCTTTAACATACTTTGGCACTATAGAACTGCAGTTTCTTACTAGGCGTATGAATGCCATTGCGTACAAAGGTGTACTGAATACGACTTTCCCTGCAGACAAGGATATTTTTGGACCCTTGAAATGGAAGCTCCAGCAGGAAAATGCACCTATCCACACAGCCAGGATTGTAAAGTCCTGGATTGATGGTCAAAACGTAGAATTACTGACTTAGCCGCCATACTCTCCCGACCTAAACATTATAGAAAATGTTTGGGGATGGCTGGCACGAAAGGTGTACGAGTCCGGCAGGCAGTATTCAACTGAAGCAGAACTCATTGAAGGAATAAAAAGGTCCTGGGAGGCTGCTTCACTCAATTATATAAAAAATTTATATGACTCCTTACCTCAGCGGATGTACGAAGCCATACTTAACCGTGGAGGCTCAACACATTATTAATTTGTTTTCAAAAAAAGTTAAAAATATTTAAATTAATATTAAAAAATAATTTGAATGAAGTTTGAACCCATTTTCTTTTGTTATTTTAAGTTTTCAAGTGACTGTGCTAATCGACTGTCGCAAAAATAATAGTGAATTTTGTATATTATGTTTGCTTACATTAATTTAAAATGTTATTAATAAAGTTAGTATCCTATCTTCTATTAAATTTCGTGTGAAATTATATATTCTTTTAAGGGGAAAAATTTTATTTGAAAAGCTTTTTTAGTTTTCCGGATATTAAGTTTCTAAGACGGGTAGCATAGGGTGTGCTAATCGGTTGTCGCGCAGTGTATGTATATACATACAGATAATCAAAGTGAATAACATACTTGTATAGTGAAAATTTGAGCAAATTTTTTTTCTCCTTGCATAAATACAACGTGTGATGTGTTACCGTGTTTTTATTTTTCAACAAGTTATTTTTGTTTATATTGTTTGCACAACTTGTGTATGCGTTGGACCAAAATAGAAAAAAGAAAGTATAAAAAATGAAAATAATTGACCCGGACAGCCAAATATATGAACCGAGATAATTTTATTTTTGTATAACGGCATATAAATTCGTATGGTCATCAAAATACACATCAAATATAATGTTTACTCTGTATCAATTGAACTAGAATTTGCGTTTATCTATTTCGAAGGCAAATATGTAAGTTCAAACTGTATCATATACATACATACATATGTATATATTTAGGTACAAATGTATCAATATGTACAGACATATTAATAACATGACCATTGTGGCAATTTTATGGCAATGACGTCTTTTATTAGTAAATGCAATAAACACTTTTTACGCACTTACACATACATACATGCGCACTTGCAAATAAATACAATATAAAAAGAATACGATTTAGGG